TAAACCGTAAGTTGCCTAGTGAATCTTTCTCCTTCCCTTCCCTACCCACCTGGATGGTGGCTGTCACAGGGAACCCCCACTGGAGCGCTGTTAGAGCTTGAAGGGACTCAAAGAGGAGGGGCAGTACTCTGAGCACTTCTCCTCAGTTTACTCCGGGGTCACCTGTCATTCCCTCTGGCCTCCTTCTCTGAGGGGTACCACCACCTTCGCCATTACATTATCTTAGAGAACATTGGAATGATCGAGCTGTATAGTGCCCTCTTACATGGACTTTGCTTTTTTTTCTTCTTTTTTTTCTTCTTCCCATTACTGGCCTGAGTTATGTGGGCCAGATCTCAGCTGGCAGGCCCCTAGAACAGGCACTGCCAGCTCGGTTACCAAGTTCTGTGTGGCATCTACCTCCATGTCCCCCGGTCGGCCCCCTAATCATTGCACCCACTCTGGTTTGGCTCCCCTATCGCCCTCAGCTGTAGCAAACTCCGTGACCTCTCCCTTGATCTCCTCTCCCCTGGCCTCCTTCATTCCAGCCTGAGCTGGCCATCCTCGCTCTGGAACCACTTACGGCCACCTGGTGCCTCCTCCTTTGGGGTGCGTTTGGAGGGCCTGGTTCCTTCTTAGCCACGTCTTCTGCCACTTTCACCAGGTACTCTGATCAGGCCTGAGCCTGTCTCTCTGGGCATTTTGGCATGGCCTTCCTTCCATCTGGAATGCCTGTTCTCTTTTCTGTCTTTCTCTGAAGTCTTGCCCATCCTTTAGGGACTCATTTCTGCATCATCTTCTCAGGGAAGCCTCCCTGCTATCCTGTGATGGAGGTGATGGTTCCTGGCTGCTCCAGGTGTACTTCTGTCCCTCTGTCAGGGCATTATTTGGTGTTTGGGGTTTAAAGATATTTTCACCTTTACTGGCTGGATTATTCATTTAAAGAAGAAAGGGGCTGTGTCTTATTTATCTTTATATTCCCAGTGCCTGGTTTATGGAAGGTGCTTATTAAATGCTTATTTAAAGGATTATTAGGGAAATGAAGCAAATTATCCAACAATATGGACCAGACCTCTGCAATGGGGGCCTGCAGGAGAATTAAGCCCTACTACTCTAAGGCAACCATGGTATGTAACGAATTAACTTCTCTTCTGTGTTTCAGGAATGATTCTAGTTATAGACCATCATTGGGAGAATTGAGAAAAATAAGTATTCAGATCCTTTTCTGTTGGGCCCAATTCTCCAGTAGAACCCAGCTTGGAGAAGGCTGGTATAGACACTTTGATTCCAATCCTGATAAAATATATGTATGCAAAGACTGAAGACAGACCAGAATGTTAACAGTGGATATCAGTAGGTTGTAGTATGACAACCAGTATGTGATTTCAGAATGTTCTTTCCGCTGTTAAGTAATTTCTGAAGTTTCTAACTTTGTGATAATAGAGCTTTAAAAAAAAACTTCTCAAATGAGTCAAGTCAAGAGTTCCTAAACCTGACTGTGGCTCATCTAAGGCAGTAGATAGTTGGGGGTTTTGTTTTCAAATATACCTCCCTGTGCCACGCCACAGCACACCAGGAATCACCAAGCTGAGTGCCTCAACGTTGGCCGCTGGAGAATCGGGCCTCTGGGCGAGGATGACTCTAGCTGTCAGCTCTCTGTTACGTGGGTGTCTCTCTTTGCTGCCACCGGACACCTTGCAAATTGCAGGGCTGAGTTTCCAGCAAGCATGGCTTGCCATGAGAGAAATTAGGATGCTAAGGACACTAATGTATATTCTCAGAAGTAAATCTAGAGGTGTTCTTTTTTTTCTTCTCCTTAATTACTAAGAGTGAACATAACCCAGGGTTATTTGAATTAAGTCTCACATGCTAATTCTTGTTCATGAAATACTGTTTCAACAAGCCCACATTTTTTTCCTTGAAGTTTGACCTTGTGTGTCCTCACACTGGATTTTACCCTTATTCCAGCAAGAATCCACCAATGGGTGCCGAAATAAGTATTTGATGAGGAAGAGGATATTTGCTTAGTCTCTAAGTATTGACCATCAAGTTACTTATTAATTACGAAGGAAATTACGAAGTTACTTATTAATTATGAAGGAAAAATAGTAATTTGACAGTGGAGAAACCTGCCTTCCATCACTTTAACCAATTGATCAAATTTAATATCACCAGCAGTGGGACAAATCCAACATCAGGTACCTCCTAAGAAAATGCATTGAGAAGAGCCCAGCATTAGTCTGTGATATTTCTGCAAAAATGTATAACTTAAATCCAATCATGAAGAAGTAGACAAATCTCAATTGAGGGACATCCTACAAAATAACTGGCCTGTACTTTTCAAAAAATGCAAAGATCGTGAAAGATAAAGCAACTGTTTCAGGTTAAAGGAGGTTCAAAATATGTGGTAACTGAACACCACATGTGATCCTTTTTGCTCTAGGGCTATTATTGGAACTAATAAAGAACTTTTTGTCTGGTCTTTAGATTAGATGGTATTGAAGCAACGATAGTTTCCTGATTTTTATCATTATATTGTGGTTGTGTAAGGGAATATCCTTGTATTCAGGAAATACTGAAATATTTTCCCAGGGTAGGTGGGAATGTCATATTTTCAACTACTTTCAAATGGTCAAAAAGGTAAATGCTGGGATGCCTGGGTGGCTCAGTGGGTGAGCATCTGCCTTTGGCTTGGGTCGTGATCCCGGGCTCCTGGGATCGAGTCCCACATCAGGCTCCCCACAGGAAGCCTGCCTCTCCCTCTGCCTATGTCTCTGTCTCTCTCTCTCTCTCTCTCTCTCATAAATAAATAAAATCTTTTTTTAAAAAAAGTAATATGCATGGTATATTGTGTTATATAGAATGACAGAGCAAATATGGTAGATTGTTAACAGTTGAGGAGTCCAGGTGAAAGATATATGGGAATTTTTTTGTGCTGTTCTTGTAATCCTTCTGTAAGTTTGAGATTATGTCAGAAAATCAAGTTTGAAAATCAGAAGTCTGCAGGTCGTGGTGCTGTGGACAGTCTAGCATCAGAAGGCACGTAGGGCTTTTCAGGGTCTCCCCTTTCCGTGGTCACTAATGAAGTCATTTCCCACAACACTGAGCTCTCTTCATCATTGGCTTGGCTCCCCCTGGCATTGGCAAAAGACAGTGGAAGAGCATTAATAGTGCAGCTTCACCTGACAGGAAGGTTTCTTTCTACTGCTGCTGCTCCTCAGACTTCCCTCCTGCTGGCTGTCCTCAGGCAGCTGAACCACCAGCTCTGACTCACATGTTTACTTGGTGTAGTAGACTTGGTTTAGACTTCACTCCTGCTCCCACCCCCAATTGTCCTGTACAAGAGACTTCCCCGGCAGAATGTAACTTCGAAAATATATTTAAACACAGTGGAGAGTGTTGATGTGTGAGATCAGTGCACTTCACTAAGACACTTTGGTCAAACGCTTGCCAGCAAATAAGACACAGAGCTCTTGGAGAGTGCACTTTGCCCAGAGCCTGGGCATGAGCCCATTAAAGATAGTCCTCTCTCCTGCCTTGACAGACTGTCAGGTTGTATGTTTTGGTAGAAATCCTGCATTTACTATGTTCTGTGTGAGGAGGGGGTCCTTTACCAGCCCCCACTGCATTTTATGTCATCTAGGGGAGTCTCTCTAGAGGGGCGGGCGTGGCAGGGGGCAGTTCTTGGATTCAGAAGGGGAGCTCTGAGTTAGGGCCTGAGGTGGGTGTGTGGTTGGGGCTGCGTATTAGAATTTACAGAGAGGGGTTCCTGGGAAACTGTCCAGCTCCAGGGAACAGAATATGAGAACACTGAAGCTTCTCTTCCTCCTTCCTATCTATTTCTCCCTTCCAGCTCTCCTCTCCCAGAATTTCCTGTCCCCTAGCCCCCCCCACTCCATTTCCTCCACTCTGTCTTCTCCATCCTACTCTCTCTTTCCCCTTTTATTATTATTTTTAAATCCATTTCCCTCCACTTATTCCAGCTTCCTATTTCTCTCTCCTAAATGGCTGTAATGTATGAGCATCCATTGAATCAGCTAAGTTTTATGTTTCCTGTTCTTACTTTGAAAAGCAGGTGAGACTCATAAATTTTAGTGGAAGAAGAGGCAGTTAGAAATGTTCTCATCCAACCCTGCTTTTTACATATTAGCAAACATCCTGAAAGAGCTGACTTGGCCATTATCAAACAGCGGCACTGTTGACTGTTTTATATCTCTTTCCTCTCCTCTTAAAAAAACAAAACAAAACTGATCCAGCTGCTCCTTTTATTTCCCATGATGGTGGGTGGGACAGTCATTTGACTTTGTTTATAAAGGATCCCCATCCCTGTTCTCTGAGTGTCAGGCATGCTCTGGACACTTCACAAATGCCCAGTGATTGTGGTATCTGGACACAGGCAAGGATCTGATTTTCATGTCTGCCTCTTGTTGACTTTGGGTTGGCTATCCTGCAGAGACTTGGATGAGTCCATCCTTTGCAAGTATTTAGAGCCTTGCTGTAGGTCCTGAGGTTATAACCATAAACTGAATCGCCAGAGCCTCTTTTCTAGGAAGCTTGTATTTAGTGGGGAGAACAGACAACAGGCAAATATGTGTGAGTAGTAATGAGTGCTGTGCAGTAGCAGGAGTGAATAACAAGGCTCAGGGGTGGGAATGCTGTTTTACCAGGAGGGTGACTTGGGAACAAAGACTAGAATAAAGAGGGTGAAGGAGAGAGCCACTTGGAGGACCAACAGAGGCAGAGGACCCTGAGGTGGGGTGAGGGTGGGAGCAGGAGGCCCTAGGATGAAGGGGAATGAGGGGGAGAGGAGTGTCAGAGAGAGTGGGGATGGGGAGAAGGCTCTGGATTTTTAAGAGGTGCTGCACTGTCAACAACTTTGTCACTTTAGTGAAATCTTGGAGAAATACCATGTGTAGCTCCTGGACGTGTTCTAGTTTTGGAGAATGTTTATGTATTCCAAGGATTCAGGATTAATTGCCTTAGCGCTTTTTTTCTAAAGATTTCATTTATTTATTTGACAGAAAGAGAGCGCAAGCAGAAGGAAGAGGCAGAGGGAGAGGGAGAAGCAGTCTCCCAACTGTGAGCAGGGATCCCAATTCTGTGGAGCTCAATCCCAGGACCCCAGGATCATGACCTGAGCTGAAGGCAGATGCTTAACTGACTGAGCCACCCAGGTACCCCTGCTTTAGCACTTTTTTTTTTTTTAAGATTTTATTTATTTATTCATGAGAGACACAGAGAGAGAGACAGGCAGAAGGAGAAGCAGGCTCTATCGATCCGATCCAGGGTCTCCAGGATTGCACCCTGGGCTGAAGGCAGCGCTAAACCCCTGAGCCACCTGGCCTGCCCAGCACTTTTAAACATATGAAAAGCCAGCAATTGAATGCTAGTAATGATGCATTCTCAACCTTAGAGGAATACCCGTTGACTAGCAGATTAATAGGCAGGCAGACCTCAGATTCATTGCCATGTTTACATTTTGATTGGTGATCAAAATTAATAGAGTGTGGACTGCATTCATGGAGCAACACTTATTTTTCATTTCAGAAGACAGGTCCTTGTAACTGAACAGTTTGTAGGAGGATCTGAAAATCTTTAGGCTAAAGATGTAGCCTTGGTTTCTCAAAGTGCCACATGCACATAACTCTGTAGAACTTGCTTAGAATACACATTTGCATCCTTACTTGGTCCTGCCTGGTGAGAAGTTCTGGGGATGAGGTCTAGGAATCTGCATACTTCACAGCCTCTGAGTGGTTCTTGTGCCTGGTCAAGTTGCAGAACCACTGGCCAGGGCAGTGGTGGAGGCTTTATTTATTTATTTATTTATTTATTTATTTATTTATTTATTTATTATTTACTTATATAATAGGCATTCATTTCTCACAGTTCTGGAGGTTGGGAAGCCCAAGATCAAGACATTAGAGATCCTGTGTCTGGCGAGAGCCTCTTCCTGGTTCCAGGAGAACCATCTCTCTGTGTCCTCACCTGGTGGCAGGCACGGATAAGTTCAATTGAACAAATCCTAGAAGACAGGAAATGATTGAGTATGGTCTCAGCAGCAGAGCTCAAACCAGCACTTCCTTTGTGGATTTTGGTATCATGGGTGAAATTTCACATTCCTAAAGGAGAAGTAAGACCCTGCCCATGCAGTAGAAACAGGAAAGGATTGTGTAGAGGGAGTTTTTCCCGCTTTGGTGGTGGGAATGGAATGGGGTGGTTAAAGGTGAGACACTTAGATCCAGAAAGGAGTGCATGAGACACTTAGATCCAGAAAGGAGTGTGCTCCTTCCATCCCCATGCACATCTAAGAACCCTCCTCTGCAGTCTGGTGCTCGGCCCTGGCTGCTGTGTGAATGCAGGCTTGTGCCTGTCTGTTGGCTGACACATTTTACAGGTGAGAACACGACCATTTACCTTGATGAATCCAGTTTCTTGAGATCAAGCAACCCAAACCAGACATTAACAAGATTAGATACTGAAACTCCAAGGGTCTTCAATTTTTAGTCTACTCTGATTTTCATCTTTTGTAATGAGTTTGATAACCCTCAGTACTTAAAAAATATGGTAGTGTTTGGAATTTTAATAGAGACAATGATTTTATTCCAGTAGGTAGAGTTGGGGGCAGTTTTGCCCCCCAGGGAACATCTGATAGTGTCTGGAGACAGTTTTGGTTGTTACAGCTGGTGCTCACTTCGGTAGCACATATACTAAAATTGGTTGTCACAGCTGGCAGAGGCAGGAGACCGGAGATGCTATTGGCATCTAGTGAGTGGAGGCCAGGGATGCTACTAAACACCCTACACAACACACCTTACCTGAGACAGCTTCCTACAACAAAGAATTACCCAGCCCCAGTGTCAGTAGTGCTAAAGTGGAGAAACCCTGCAAAAGATCAATTGCATGCCTCTTTTTTTTTTTTTTAAAGATTTATTTACTTGTTTGAGAGAGAGGGAGATTGAGAGCATGTGAGGGAGGGAAAGTGGGAGAGACATAATCTCAAGCTGACTCTCTGCTGAGTGCAGAGCCTGATGCAGGGCTCGATCCCACAACCTTAAGATCATGACCTGAGCTGAAACCAAGAGTCAGATGTCCAATGACTGACCACCCAGGCACCCCTAATTGTATGCCTCTTATCTGTATTATGGTTTTGTTTTGTTTTGTTTTGAGAGGAGAGAGAGAAAGAGCATGAGAGAGGTGGAGGGGCAGAGGAAGAGGGAGAGGGAAAAGCAGACTACCCACTGAGTAGGAAACTTGACGTGGGGCTCTATTCCAGGACCCAGGAACATGACCTGAGCTGAAGGCAGCTGCTTTACCAACTGAGCCACCCAGGTACCCCAGGTCTTAGGATTTTAAGTGAGCTTTCATACAAAGTTCCATGGCTAAAACTGGTTTAGAATGAGCCACCTATACTGGCACAAAAACAGACACATAGATCAATGGAACAGAATAGAGAACCCAGAAGTGGACCCTGAACTTTATGGTCAACTAATATTCGATAAAGGAGGAAAGACTATCCACTGGAAGAAAGACAGTCTCTTCAATAAATGGTGCTGGGAAAATTGGACATCCACATGCAGAAGAATGAAACTAGACCACTCTCTTGCATCATACACAAAGATAAACTCAAAATGGATGAAAGATCTAAATGGGAGACAAGATTCCATCAAAATCCTAGAGGAGAACACAGGCAACACCCTTTTTGAACTTGGCCACAGTAACTTCTTGCAAGATACATCCACGAAAGCAAAAGAAACAAAAGCAAAAATGAACTATTGGGACTTCATTAAGATAAGAAGCTTTTGCACAGCAAAGGATACAGTCAACAGAACTCAAAGACAACCTACAGAATGGGAGAAGATATTTGCAAATGACGTATCAGATAAAGGGCTAGTTTCCAAGATCTATAAAGAACTTATTAAACTCAACAGCAAAGAAACAAACAATCCAATCATGAAATGGGCAAAAGACATGAAGAGAAATCTCACAGAGGAAGACATAGACATGGCCAACATGCACATGAAAAAATGCTCCACATCACTGGCCATCAGGGAAATACAAATCAAAACCACAATGAGATACCACCTCACACCAGTGAGAATGGGGAAAATTAACAAGGCAGGAAACCACAAATGTTGGAGAGGATGCGGAGAAAAGGGAACCCTCTTACACTGTTGGTGGGAATGTGAACTGGTGCAGCCACTCTGGAAAACTGTGTGGAGGTTCCTCAAAGAGTTAAAAATAGACCTGCCCTACGACCCAGCAATTGCACTGTTAGGGATTTACCCCAAAGATACAGATGCAATGAAACGCCGGGACACCTGCACCCCGATGTTTCTAGCAGCCATGTCCACAATAGCCAAACTGTGGAAGGAGCCTCGGTGTCCATCGAAAGATGAATGGATAAAGAAGCTGTGGTTTATGTATACAATGGAATATTCCTCAGCCATTAGAAATGACAAATACCCACCATTTGCTTCAACGTGGATGGAACTGGATGGTATTATGCTGAGTGAAGTAAGTCAATCGGAGAAAGACAAACAGTGTATGTTCTCATTCATTTGGGGAATATAAATAATAGTGAAAGGGAATATAAGGGAAGGGAGAAGAAATGTGTGGGAAATATCAGAAAGGGAGACAGAACATAAAGACTCCTAACTCTGGGAAACGAACTAGGGGTGGTGGAAGGGGAGGAGGGCGGGGGGTGGGGGTGAATGGGTGACGGGCACTGAGGGGGACACTTGACGGGATGAGCACTGGGTGTTATTCTGTATGTTGGTAAATTGAACACCAATAAAAATTAATTTATTAAAAAAAAAAAAAGAATGAGCCACCTAGATTGTCTGCCTGGTTGGACGGGGAGGACAGGTTGGCTTCTGGGATCAGTGGGAGAGGAGTAACCTGTCACCCAGAGCTCTGGAAGCCACAGGTGAGGCCCTGGCCTGGTGTCCTCTTGAGCTTTTCTGGCTACAGTGCTGTCCCCCCCACACCTCTCCCACCTTACCCCACTGCTTCTCCCGGTGGGGCAAGGGCAGGAGGAAGTTGAGTGTAGACTTCACTCATCCCCACTGTTCCCCAGCTCCTGGGCCCCAGCCCTCCCTCTCTTGTCCTGTGCCCATGGATGAGCTTTAGCAAGCTGGCCTGGAGGGAGCGGGGGTCAACTCTGTGACTAAACTGTGTCTGTGTGTATGCTGGGTGGCAGGTGCCGCACTTCTGAACAGTCTTCTTGCTCCCACGCTCCCTCCCACCCCCACTGCTGTGAATATATTCCTGTTCTCATCTCCCTCGACTTTGGGTATCTGGAAAGTAGGGGCTCATTCTGGACTCAGTCTGTCAGCTCATCTCTGCATTCTCACAGAATTGATGAAATGAACTTTTAGACATTGCCCTTTTTGGTGTGGGCACCCATATTACTTGTTTAGGGTAAAGCAGTTTAAAATGCATTTTGTGGGACGCCTGGGTGGCTCAGTGATTGAGCGTCTTCCTTTGGCTCAGGTCGTGATCCTGGGGTCCTGGGATCAAGTCCCATATCAGGCTTCCTGCAGGGAGTCTGCTTCTCCCTCTGCCTATGTCTCTGCCTCTCTCTCTGTGACTCTGATGAATAAATAAATAAAATCTTAAAAAAAAAAAGTGTGTTTCATTTAGGAACTAGGTGTGCTCCCTCTCTTAAATAATTGGAGTTTCAGGTTGTTGGTGAACCCAGACTTGGAATTGTCACATCACAGTTCTGATTTTGCCTAATATTTCCTTTTCTGATTTCCAAAGCTATCTCGTGTGTTTCTTCCTTTCCTCCCCAACCCCTTGAAGATGGGCTGCCTGGGGTTAAGACAGCTCTGCATTTTGTTCTTCCCCTTGGGGATCTTATCTCTTTAGAGCAGTCTCAACTACTAACCTTTTATCCAGATACCCCAGGACCTTATTTCAGGTGTGGCACATCCTACTATTGACTATTACAGATACCCCTTCCCTTCCTTACCAACTGAACCCAAATTTTGTTTGGGGAAGCAGCCAGCCCAGCTTGTAAAAAGTTCCTGGCTGACTTTGCAGCTGGGGATAGCCACGTGATGTAGTTCTGCCCAAAGAGATATAAATGGAAGCCTGTCCGTTTCCGGGGAAGTTTTCCCTCTCCTGATATAAGTGTTTCTCCTTGTTTCTATCTCATCTCTCTTCTCCTTCC